ACTAAAAAGTTGTATCGAGAAAGAATAAACTAGTTTTAATTAAGAAAGAATTTGGATCACTGAAGTTCCTCGGAAATAATTTCTACCGGAAATTAGCAGATACGCAACAATTCTAATTTAAAGAAACCTCTTTATCAACCTAAATACTCCATAAAAATAAATCATAAGCGTGCGTAATGTTCAGTCTTTGCACACGGTGAGTAGAGAGATGTCATATTAGTATCCTGATATTTACTACTGAAAACTGACGATAAATCGAAGGTCTGTCATGGACTGGTGGTTAGGGCGATCGACTCGCTATCTGAAGCTCGCGGGTTTGAATCCCTTCTCCGAATATGCTCGTCCTTTTAGTGATGGGGTCGTTATAACGTGACAGTCAATCCCATTATTCGTTGGTAAAGAGTAGCCGAAGAGTTAGCGGTGGGTGGTGTTGACTAACTGCCTTCCATCTAGTCTATCATTTCAAAATTAGGGAAAATTAGCGCAGATAGCCTTCTAGTAGTGCTGCTCGAAATTCAAAACAAACAAGTCAATAAATGGAGTATTCACTTAGAACTTCTGTATTGTAAAAGAAAAGTAGCGCCATCTACGTGAAAGCATTATAAAATGAGCACAGCATTAAATTAATAACGCTTGGAGACGGCTTGAATGGGTAATGAAGGAAAAACTTTAATATAAGTTTAACATAACAGCAAATGTACAACGTTTCGACAAGGTTTTGTCATCATCAGGTCGAAACCTTGCTGTTATGTTAAACTTATATTAAAATAAATGGAGCAAAAGATTAATTAGAATTTATTCGTGGATTTCTTTTCCACCCAAAACGTGAATTTCAGTGAAGAAAAGATGGCGTAGAGGCTTAATCTATTCTATGATTCGCTGCAATAGACTAGTTTCGCTAAATTCACAGCTCGTCAAAGCTGCTTGGAAGAGCGATGCAAATAGGCCTTGTATAGCGGTGGAATGAAACCAGTTCGTTTGGTTTTGTATTGAGTAAAAGAATATACATCAAAACGGATTAATTTTTTTTAAACTTTGGTTCTAACTGACTTATATTTTCATTAGAATTTATTAACTGTAAGCGATACAAATGTTTAGTTGAATTTCACAGTGTTTTAGAATTTGTTTTTAACTATTTTTATTGGTATGAACTCGTGTTTAGATATACATTTTTATAACACCAAGTTTCATAAAACTATTAAAGGGCATACGAAATTATATTGAATTTAATCTTTATAAACTACGTATTTTGCCCACATGGGGGCTGCTGTTGAATTTGTCGTAGCACAAACAAGTTAGATAAAGTTACGTACAATAACAGATGTAAGAACATAGATTATATCGCAAAGTTCATAGTCTACTGTTGTTATTATCATCATCACCACAAGGAGAAAAGAAATGGTAAAATAATTATTAATAATGAGAACGATATTATATATATATATATACTGTCTGGTGATAATAAATGTAATACATTTATGTAATTATCTAACAATCACGTATAAGAACGTCTCAAAAATATCCGGCTGGTGTTGGGCATACAAAAAAGATGTTTTTGTTTGTTTTACCATTATCAGTAAAACAAACTTATCAGGTGTGTTTATGAGCAGTACATGTAGAACCCTTGAACTCTAATAAGTATTTGTTTTGCACAAGACATTCACGAATAATGAACAAACTTTAAAATATATCTTTGAAGTATAGCGTCACCTAATTCAAATGTTATTATTTTTTGTATTGCGTTATTGTTGTTTGAAGTTAAGCACAAAGCTACACAATGGACTATCTGTGCTCTGCCCACCACGGGTATCGAAACCCGGTTTCTAGCGTTGTAAGTCCGCAGACTTACCGCTGTGCTACTGGTGGGGCCGCAATTTTGGAATTGGATTTTCAACTTGAACAGCATCTTATGTGTAAATGGCCTAAATAGTTAAGTCAAAGACCCTTAGAGGTATAAATGTCTTTAATTTGGAACTCCAGACCAGAGGGAAGGCAGTCAACAGCATCTGCCAACACAATGGCATTTCGGAGTCTTTGAAACTGACTGTCACTTTATATATAATACGCTCACAGCTGAAAGTGATGAGCGTATTCAGTGACATAACGTCTCGAACCCCAGACTTTTCGGTTCGCATCCTGTCACGTTAACCACTAAGCTTGTGTACTATTATAGTAATTTAAGATATGTCCATTGTTGCTGGATTAAAATCAATCGACGCAAAAGAAGATCTTGAAAACGTTAGAAAAATGACATTTTATATCTAACAGTAATAGACATAGTCTGATAGTATTGCAATTATAAGATCATCCCTAGCCTCTATATTGCCTATGTGTGTGGGTGTTGAAGATCAGTAGTTAGATAAAGTTCTGATAGTCTTATAGCTTAGTTGTTAATGTAGATGAAGACTAATAATTATAATGTGAGGGTTTTCAAATAAAGAATGTTTAATATAATGTTAAAACATAACGGTCCGGATATATAACTATAAGAATAGTTTGAGATCTCAATTTCGAGTACAAACTATTTTGAAATAGAAATAGCTTTGAACAATGGCCACGTGGTTTACGGGACAAAATAATCAACGGAGCTGAGGATGACGTAATGAATTACAGAAGCTAGCATGGTCAGACTGAAAAAAAACCTACATTTAGCTGACCTTTTCAGTGTTGTTATACTCGCGTTTACGCAGTTTAAAAAGTAAACTGTTTCGTCTGTTTGTCTTTATGATGTCCGCTTTATTTTATACATATTTTGATAATAAACACAAAAGCGTTTTTGCGGAAATCTACATGGCCAATCGACAACAAAGAGGTTTGATAAAGATTCTTCTCGGTAAAATGTTCGTTTTGTGTATGCTCTCTTTTTATATTTTGTATAATTTTTAAAATCGTCATCCTTTCTTGAATACATGCGAATAATATTTTCGTGCATCAAATGTATACTTTTAGAACATATATCTAAAACAACATTTTTTAAATTCATAATCTCCTATACAGGGTGATATAGTTTATAATGATACGTTTCAATACAGATCACAAAACAGGCATTTCTGTAGCACATATACATTACACTAGATTTATCAGTGTGAATATT